CACAAAGTCCAGACTCATGTTTTCCTATTATAAATAATGATTGATTAAGTGCAGTGTGTCCAATTCTAAGGCGAGATATTATGCTGTCTTCCTTTCTATTCCCAAAAATTCTCCTCTAATTTCCAACTGTTTTTTGAATATTATATAAATGCCGTCATTTATTCACACCATCCCATTTACTTTGCCATATACCTTTTAATGCTTTTTTTAATTAGCCCTTTTATTTCTAATTTACTCATTGGAACATTAAATTCTATGTCTGGATGTTTTAATGTTTTTTTTCGCTGTTTGATCCACCACTTCATTACCTTCTATTCCTATATGTGCAGGTATCCATACAAAAGAGATAATTGTTTTTGTTTGTATTCTGAACAAACTTTGTAAAATGTCTGATAAAATGTCTTGTCTAGTTGAAGATTTACCACTCTTTAAACTTGATAATGCTGAAAAAGAGTCTGAACATTTGACTACTTCAGGTATATTAATGTCTTCAACCCACTGAAGAGCCAATAATATGGCAATCATTTCTGTTGTATAAACTGATAGGTGATTAGATGTTCTTTTTGCTATTCTATACCTAAACCTTGGAACATATATTGCTGCTGCTGTGCGTCCTATTTCAGGATCTTTAGATCCATCTGTATATATATGAGTTACTGATATATATTTCTGATCTAAATATTTCTGTACTATTGAATCTTTAGATTCTTGTCTGTTTTTATCATTTATACTCACTAAAACCTGAAAGTCAACTGCAGGCATTGGAAATAACCATGGAGGTGTTACTGGCAACACAACAGTATTGCAAACATCACAATTACTTATTCCAATTTGATGTGCCTCATTATTTGCTTTCCATCCAAAACTATTTATATTTATGTATTCATGTTCCCAACAGTTTTCTAATACTTTTTTAACTGGATGTATTTCTGAATGCCCTTTTACAGTAGCCCAATATACCAGTTTCAGCTTCAACCTGCGAAGCTCCAGTGGCATCTCATTCATTTCAACCTGTAAAGCTGATACAGGAGAAGTTTTAAATGCTCCACAGCATAATCTCAATGTCTGATTTTGTATTTTATTCACCTTATCTAACAGAGATGCTGAAGCTGTTCCATAAATCATACTCCCATAGTCTAATGTAGACCTTATAAGTGCACAGTATATTCTTTTTAGAGACTGTCTATCAGCTCCCCAATCTATTCCCGCCAAACACCTCAGTACATTTATTCCTCTTTTACATTTATCTACTATCTGTTGAATGTGTTTTGCAAATGTTATCTTTGAATCCAACCAAATACCTAAAAATCTAAATTCAGATACTTGCTCCAGTTTTTGCTCATACAATTTTAATGTAACAACTGGTGCTTTCTTCTTTTTTGAAAAACATATTATTTTAGTTTTTTCCACTGGTATTCGAAATCCCCAATTACTTGCCCACATTTCAACTTCTTTAATAGCATTCTGCATCCTTTCTTCTACATACGACAAATTTCTACCTCTTTTCCATAAAGCACCATCGTCTGCATATAAAGACTTTCCAATCCCTGGTCCAACTGTATTAAAAATATCATTTACCATTATGTTGAACAATATAGGGCTGCACACACTACCTTGTGGTGTACCATTTTCAATTGCATATTTCTTTGAGTACGAAGACCCAGTCCTTACTTGAATGGTTCTATCAATTAAAAAATCCTTAATCCAGTTATACATTCTACCATTAATATTCATTTTATTCAGTTTAATTAAAAGTCCTTCCTTCCACATCATATCGTACGCTTTCTCTATGTCTAAAAACACACCAACTAATACTTCTTTATTAATCTGAGATTTTCTTATATCTGATTCTAGACTTAAAATTGCATCTGTTGTGTTTCTACCTTTTCTAAAACCACTCTGATGAGGACATAAAAGATTTTTTGATTCCAGAACATAATTCAATCTTGCCACTACCATACGTTCCATTAGTTTACAGAGGTTAGAAGTTAATGCAATCGGTCTGTAACTTGTAACTTGCGAATGGTCTTTTCCTGGCTTTACAATTGGAATAATTATGCCATGTTTCCAAGAGGAAGGGAGTTTTCCTAATTTCCACACTCTATTAAAAAGATATAATAAAATATTCTTTGACTTATCTGATAGATACCTAATCATTTCATTACATATTTGTCTTTACCAGGAGAAGTATTTCTAACTCCTACAAGTGCCTGATTTAATTCATACATGGTAAAAACTTCATCTACTGAGCTTTCATTTACATCTCTTTGCTCTAAAATATTTGGATTTTCCTTCATTTTGTTTTCTCTATATAATCGAATTTCTTCTGATATATTTGTATTACTATGAACCTTAACAAAATTTTCAGCCAATACTTCTACTTTTCCAGAGTTAGATATGACTTGTTTTCCTTCACTAATTAAAACTGGAATTTCTCTGTTAGGTTGAATCCCTCCCATCTTTCTTATCATTCCCCACATTTCATTAATGTCTGTCTCTTTTCCAATTTCATCACAAAATTTCCTCCAATAATTATTTTTTGCCATCCGAATTGTTTTCCTGACAATTGCTTGTGTTCTCTTATATTCAATAAAATCATTAAATGAATATGATTTTTTTACTTTCTTAAATACTCTGTTCCTTTTCTTTATAATTTCACTGCACTCTTCTGTCCACCATGGTACGACCTTCTTTCTCCTTTTCCCTGTGCTTTTCCCAATTACATCAGTTGCTGTTTTGTAAATAACATCACTTATATATTTATTTAATTCATCAACATCTTCTATCGATATATCTATTGTCAACATTCTAGTCTCACTTATTTCTTGGAATTTTTTCCAGTCAGCAGATTTAAGTTTCCATCTAGGATTTTCTTCCCTTTCAACGTGTTCCAAGTCTATTCCAATTTTACAGCTTATTGGGAAATGGTCACTACCTACTGTACTTTCTTCCATAACACTCCATACACACTTCCTTGCCAAACTTTGAGATGCTAGAGTCAAATCAATTGCTGAAATTCTTCCCTGTGCAACATCTACCCTTGTATTCCTACCATCATTTAAGCATATTAAATCTTTCCATTCCAACATCTCTTCTACTACATTTCCATTCTGATCAGTATGTACACTTCCCCATAGCATATTGTGAGCATTAAAATCCCCACACCATATAATTTTATGATTTCCTAATCCCCCAATACTCTCTAATGTTTCTCTACTTAACCTTTCACATGGGTTATAAAAATGTATCACCCATATACTTTGTGATTCGGCCCAAACTTCAACCACCAGCGACTCATATTCCTTATTTACCTGCACTGTTCTGAATCCTATTCCTTGTTGTACAAAGGTAGCAACTCCACCTCCATTTCCAACACCCCTATCTCTTCGTACTGCTACATATCCTTGTAAAACAAAGTTTAAATGCGTTTTCAGCCATGTTTCCTGTATACATATAATTTGCGGTCTGCTTTCTAAACTATCAACACATTTTTTTAATTCCTGTCCATTTGCGATCAGACTTCTTGCATTCCACTGTAAAATTGTAAAAACCATTACAATCCACCACATGCTGCTTGAGAGTTTGTATTTTGCATCTTGATTCTCTCATTTATTTGCTCCACAGTTACTTCTTCTGTTTTCAGATGTTTTCCTGCTGCTCTGATTATAATTCTGATCTTTTCTGTTGTACTTTCTGTTTGTGCAGAGCAGTTTATTTCTTCAGCCACAAAGGCAATGAATGATACTTTGTCTACTAGCATAGTATTATCATTCACCTTGCTACAACTATGGCTTTCTTTTGTTCTAGTTGTAACCTTTTGAGTATTTTCTTTTGGTTCTACCACCTTAACCCTTTTTATTGCTTCAGCATATGTTAACCCTTCCGAAACCTTGACACTTTGAATTTTCATTGCTTCTTTTCTTACTTGACATCCACCATAGCCAGCGCTGTGATCACCTCCACAATTGCAACATTTGGGTTTTACACCCTGTCCACATTTTCCATATTCATGTTCTCCACTACACCTCGCACAACGTTGTTTTCCCTTACAAACAGCTGCCACATGCCCGTACTTTTGACATTTATAGCACCTAAGCGGAGGAGGAACATACTGTCTAACAGCATAGCTTATAAACCCAAAGAATACTCTTTCTGGTAATCTGTCCTCATCAAACTGCACCATTACAGATAAGCTATCCAGCTTTTCTT